ATAATGCTTTTTTTCCATAACACATTCAAATCACTAAGATTAGTGAATTATATGTAAACTTTTACCTAATTACAGAGCAAAATGTTTTTTTTAAAATTTTTGATAACATATATATAAAGATTGTAGCAAACTAAGTGTCAGACATAAAAGTATCATAATATGGAAATGAATTATTACTCATGATTGATGCTCACATTGCATTTTATTTAGTCTAATGTCAAAATGTTATGAATTACAAACAAAAAAAAATAATTGAAGTAGATAACGATCATCACTGTCATGTTTTTTAGCAATTCAACTACTGCATTATGTCATGCACTTAAGATATGATCTTTCATTATATAAGCATACATTTTAACCCCCCCCCCACACCTTATTTGTCTTTTTCGTTTTTGAATAAAATCCGACTGACTCATCCAACTTTGTTCACTGTATCATACATATTCCTTGTTATGCATGACTGAAAAAAAATTTCAGTGTGAGCACTAATCATGCACTTTCCCTAATTCATATTTCCTTGTTATGCATGACTGAAAAAAAATTTTCAGTGTGAGCATCACTCATGCATGTTCACTGACTCATCATATAACTAGAATACTTTGATATCAAACGTCTGATTTATGAAAGTAGCATAGTTCCTTATTGAAAAAAGAAGCTATGGGTTAAAGTGCGTGACATAATGCAGTTGAATTGCTTAACATGATAATGATGAGTGTTCACTGACTCATATTCCTTTTTCTTCATTCTCCTTTCTCTGAGTTTATAGTGAAAGTTTAAAAGTTATTTAAAACTGCGCATAAGTGCGATTCGGATATTGAATTAGAAAATTAAAATATTATGAAACAAAGTAAATCTGATGCATGTTGCTTTGAATGTGAAGCTTTTATCTGTACAAGTTTTACAGGTACCTCTGAGATTCTATTGGCAAAGGATAAGGGTGAGAGTATTCAGTTTTAGTTTGATTGGTGGCTAGTTCCAGTGGAATCCGGGATGTGCATTAAGTAATTATTTCAGACTCATCGGATGGATGTACTTGCATTCCCTGAGACTCAAACCTTCCACCGATTGTCTCAAACGCCAAACCACAGGGGTTATGGGAGCCACCTCTTGTGCAACTGGTATCACTTACTCTCTGTTTTCAGATTAGTTAACTTTGCATTTTGCGTTGATCCAAATGCTCGATCTCTGTTGACATGTTGGCTGTAATTATGGACGCTTCGATGATGGCTAAGAATTAAAATGAAGCTATTTCGGTTGGTCCAATAAGACGAACCAACCTAAAATCAAATGGTATTCTTGGTATTAGATGGTGGGAGGCAATCGGCAGGAAGCCTTGGACCTAGGTTTCGTGCTAGTTGACACTCATCAGCAAGACGTATCTGCAACCTTGAAGGAACTCATGTCCCTTCTGAGATTCGAACCTGCGTTATCCAGTGCTGCAGTCAGAGACGTTACCACTGAGCTATTCAGGCTCATTACACTAGTTACTGACTAGTGTGCAATCGAAAATATCCAATACAGTCCTACAGGAGGTCAGTCGCGAGTCTGAATAGCTCAGTGGTAACGTCTCTGATTGCAGCACTGGGTGACGCAGGTTCGAATCACAGATGGGATATCAGTCCTTCAAGGTTGCAGATACGTCTTGCTAATGAGTGCCAACTAGCACGAAACCTAGGTCGAAGGCTTCCTGCCGATTGCCTCCAACCATCTAATACCAACAATTCACAGTGCACCGTAATGGCGAGCCACCTAGCATGGTGGCCACATTGCAAACATGACTGATAGAATTCAGTCTGCACCGAAGATAGGACTAGACGCATTACATTAGTTACTGACTATAGTGCAATCAAATGGTATTCTGTTTTACCGAATCAAATGAGATCCTGCTGTGTAATCGTATCTTAAGTTTGCCTAAGTAACAAACGATTACGTTTGACGTAAAACGTGAATTTCTATTTAGTATCATGCTCCGTGTCTTTCCACTTTTAGTCCTCACTTTGTCTTCGATCGGCATTCATCAAATTTACAAGTTACCATTGTCTAAATTATTTTATTTGCCTGGCTATTTCATCTCTGAACACACTTATTAAGTGATAAAATTGAACAATTATTTATTAATTACTCCCTATTTTCCTAAAATTGTACATCAAACAATCTACTTGTCATACTCGTTTGTACACTTTAATTGTTTGTATTAATTTTCTGATTGTTATTTCATTTTTACTCCGAAGAGTTGAACTTATATCGTATTACCGAATATTTTATTATTTTCTAGATACATATCTTGAAAGGGATACGGGCTAGTTTTCTTGGGCGTGAATTCCCGAAAGTCCGTAAACTTCTAGATGATACACATACACGTCTTCAATTTCCAAATCCCAATTCTGATTCCGATGTATTCACTGTGATTGGACGTGAGGAGAATGTACGCCAAGTAATAGAACAATTAGAGGAGATGCAAAAGAAACTGGTACGTTAACAAAATGTTAAACCTTGATGACCTGTGTTTTCAGTTTGTTTTCTTTTACTCTTTTTCTGCCGCCTACACATTGTATATTACTGTAGAGCAGTCTATTGTGTTCAAAAGCCTTTTTCACTGTTTTTCCGATTTTTTTCACGGTTTTGTGTATGCACGTGCCTATCTAGAAGAATAAAAAAGAAATCAATCGAATTATAAGTTGACTTGACACAATGACACAATCATGACTGCTAGTTATCACATTAAATAATCAGCTTATTTATATTGTGCAAAGGTTATTAATAATATCTAACTGGTCACACCTAATAGCGTACTTGTTGGCAGTCGAAAGAAGAGCAAGTCACGCATAATCTTCTGTTGTCAGGTGTATTTTGCTTCATTTTTGCAACAATGTAGTCATTTTTTTAGAATTTATTTCATACTACTAACAACTAACTCAGTAGTATTTTTCTTTCGAAAAGACTTTGTCTATTACTACAAGCATTTCAGTAGCACAAAGCATGAAGTGTACTTTTGTTGCATGGAAGATAAATTCTTTGTTGACTTGATTAGCTACTTATCAGCTTATTTATTAACAGGCTGGTAAGTATTCATTTGAAATTTTGTCTCACCTCAGTCATTTAATAAGTTAGTCATAAAAGCATGTAAATTACAAGTTTTTGTCTCCATAATGGTTAAGATCTTATTTTGATAAATCACACAGTGTTGTACAGTTATATTAACTGATGACGTTTCGAGCACAAACTATTGCTCATAATCATATCAAGTTGATATGATAGGTGAAGTAAAAAGTTGTGTGAGTGACTTGATATGATTGTGAGCAATAGTTTGTGCTCGAAACGTCATCAGTTAATATAACTGTACAACACTGTGTGATTTATCAAAATAAGATCTTAACCATTATGGAGTTATACTCTACCACAGTGCCCAAGTTTTATACTTATACAAGTTTTTGATATTCATTATTATATTGTAACTTTGTTACACTTTTATATGTTGAATACTTTAAAGTTTATAGCAAATTGAAAGGTAAACTTAGAGAGAGAGAGAGTGAATGAACTGTTAGTTAGTATTAAATTAACATATTTTGTTATCTGTGTTTACCTCTTATAATTATGTTTTAATAAAGATAAGTGTTATCATTCGTGATCTGAATACATTTCTATTCATAGACTTATCGTACACTACGTTGAATAGAGACACAGTTGTCAGTAAAATGCAGTCAACTAGTTGAACTTTGCTTTATTTTATTGAAAAGAATAATTAAAAGTTTATCATGCTGATTATTATTCCCTTGAGTTTCTAGTGGAGCATAGGGCTTCAACACTTTGTCCTATCTTTTGCCATCAACTTCAGTTGGGTCCACGTTTGCCCATAATCTCTCATCTCCTCCTCACATAGTTTCCTCTATGTCACCCTAGCATGAACCACTCGTCGCTTTCCACTGGGACTCCACTCGAGCAATGGCCCGCATTGCGCGCGATGTCATTCGATGGTTTCCTCAACGTATGCCCGATTCGTTCATCTCCATTTTCTCCTACAAATCTGTTGAGCAGTCGACTCTTGGGTGGTCTGTTGCCAGCCAGAGTTTTTTGTTGGAAATTCTTGGTAGCCGGCCATCTGATCTTCAGTGTGCTGTTTAGTGAAGATAGCTATTGATAAAGTTAGCTAGCTTGCTAGTTTTCCAGCCGGTCCCAAACCCGCGTAAAGAGAGAGGGTTGGGCGTGCGGCTAGCAATCATACACCACAAAAGCTATCAAAGTGCTAGAGAAACTTCAACGCCCAAAAATTTTTCATCGTATGCATGGTATGTGTTTTTTGTATGATTTATCTACCGTTTTTCAAAACAAAAATTTTGAAATTTCATCGAATAACTTCACTAGTTTTGATATCTTATACTTTAATAAGTATCATAATAGTATAACAGTAGAATATGAGTTGGATTCAGCCCATGATGTATAAACCTGTTAGTAAAATGCTAGTTATGATCGAACCAAAGCTTGGAATCAATCCACTAAAATCTTCAACAGTTAATCTGAGCTATGTAGGGTTATGATCCTCAGGATTCCCGAAAACAAATGGCTGAAGAAAATTGGTGGTATGGTTCAAAATTGTCCTGAATAGCGTGGATGCACTTATTTTTCTGTAGTCTCCTATATCCATTAAACTCTATTGTTTCTCCCAGGTTATTATTCTTTCTGGCTTACATTTCTCAGTGTCTTTTTTCCTCTTTTTTCTATCTTCTCTTTATGTGCTACATGCCATGTAGTAATTTGACCTGCTTCACTTTTGTGCAACGTCCTATGATGAAAACATTTCAGTGAGTTTCTAGCGTATAAATTTGAGTAAGCCTAGATTAAGAGTATTACCGGTTTTTCTAACTCAATACACTATAGTTTATGTAGAAATAGATATAGAAATCCTAGTCATATATTAGACGTATATATATATATATATATATATTACACAATACGTACACAGTTGTAACTTAGTTGTTGTCACTCTACTTTGTTTTTCATAGGCTTGTGCTAAAGAAGTTATGGTTTCAATACCATCTGCTTTGACAACTAAATTCGCTGGCGAGCAAGCTCCTAGTCTACGATCCATTTGTGAACAGTGTGAAGGTGTTCATATAAGATTTGCAAATAAAGGTGGTAAAAATCAATCAAACAGAACGGCCGCCAAAAAATTAAGTCATATGGATATAATCGTACTTGGTCCTGAAAAAGAGGTTGATCAAGCTTGTGCCCTTCTAGCTGAACTTAATGCTAAAGTGTCCGAGTTATGTGCTGAAGTAAGTAATAAGCAAAACCAACATTATATGCTTAAAAAAATACAATTTATATCCTACGTATACGTTTGACACAATAATGTTTGCCTTTGAACATTCAACTTATTAAATGAGTGTCCCACAGAAACTCCACTATTCCAGTTGAAAAAATATTAAAACCTAGGTAAACAAACTCAACGATAATCATCATTGATGTTTTTCCACCATAGAAACAAACCGAAAAAAATTAAATGCATAGTTTCTAAGAAAATACTAGAGAAAGATTGTGAAAAGCTTTGCATGATGCTCCAGAAGTGAAACAAAAATGTCACTCCATACACAAATGAACTAAATCGCCAACAGTTACCAAAAGACACAGAAATCCAACGTTACAATTCCATTATCGATTGAAAAATCAATCGTAATAGTCGAAGCCAACCACCATCCCTGAAACCATTCATACCCACAAAACAACAAACACTCCCACAATATACTCCAAACAACCTGAACACCAAGAAAATTAAGAATGAGGGAAACAGATGCAAACAACACCAATGTTGTAAATTCTAATCACAACGATTACTGTGTACGAAACATGTTTATCGTATTCATGATGTGTATGTGTATGGAGTGTGTGATGTGGCGTGTTTGTGACTGAGTTGTTTAGTGTTGTTAGTGTAGAGAGGGTTGAATGAGCGGGGGGGGGGGGGGCTAGAGTTGAGGTTGTCGTAGGTTTGGCGGTTGTCTGTAAGTGTTGTGTTATGATATGTGTGGAGTGTGTATGGAGTGTATGACTTTGATTGTTGAACGTGTTGTGTGTCTGAGAGCGGTTGAGATGGAGGGATGTGGAGTGTGTTGTGTGTGTGTGTTGTGGATGTTTTTGGATTGATGGTTGCTTGTTTGTGTCTGTTGACAGTTCGAATGCACGTTGATGTTCCTTGTTGAATCGGCGAGGTATGTCCGTGTATTTGTAGCTGGGTTGTTTGAGTGCAGGAGGTAGAGGGTGAATAGATCATATCTTCACTCTCCGACAGATCCTAGAACATAGACACACTTTTATGCGTCCAACAATTGCCATATTTCTTGACCTACAGGCGGCCTTCGACTCCGTGGATCGAAAGGTACTTTCGCAATGTTTGACTGTGAAAGTAGTGCCAGGAAAGTACATTGCACTAATCAAGGCACTGTACTCAAACTCACGTAGCCATGTAAGGGCGTATGGGGAATTGTCATCTGAATTGATAACAACCAGTGGTGTCGGTCAAGGATGTCCACTTTCCCCTTTTCTGTTTAACTTCATCATAGATATGCTAATGGAAGTATCCTTAACTGAACTTAACGACTTAGGAATCGACTTGTTACCGGGGAATAGTCTTATGGACTTAGAATATGCAGACGACTTAGTCCTGTTAGGGGAGGATGCTGACAAAATGCAGAGTCTTCTGAACACCTTGAGCAGCAATCTTCGTATGTTTTGCATACGATTCGCCCCTGTAAAATGTAAGATGCCGCTACAGGACTGGACTACGTCAACTCATAGCTTCGTGATAGGGAGTGAAATGATAGAACATGTTGACCACTTCACCTATTTGGGAAGTTGTATCAGCACCAACGGATTGATTGGTGACGAAATCTCAACACGGATCCAAAAAGCTCGAGCTGCTTTCGCTAACTTATGCCATCTCTGGCGTAGGCGTGACATCCGGCTATCAACCAAGGGACGTGTATACTGCTCAGCAGTTCGCTCCGTCCTTCTCTATGGTGGTTAGACGTGGCCATTGAGAGCGGAAGACATTAAGAGATTGTCTGTTTTTGACCACATGTTTACGATCTCTTTCTCACGTTATGTGGTATAATAAAGAAAGTAATGTTGACGTCAGGCGTAGAGTGTTGGACAAAGAGGGAAAATCAATCGAAGAGGCTATAAAGTTACATAGATTGAGATGGCTAGGTGACGTGCTGCGCATGCCTAACCATCGCCTCCCTCTCCCGACAGGCATTACTAACTGATATAGGTAAGTGCAGGTTGGAAAAGAGTAAGTGGTGGTCAAACAAAAACATGGCATGAATCCATGAAATCCCTGACGGTTGAACTGTGTCAGGTAGGAAGATGCAGACTTCCGGGTTGGGGCCCTCGGGACTCCAAGAATCAATGGCTGGAGACACTAGGTGACATGGCTCAAAATCGCTGTCAATGGCGCAGATGTATTCAGTCTCTGTTATCTTTCATATTCCTTTCTAGCATCATTCATTCGCTTTCACCCTCATAATTGTCAAAAAACTATTGATTCTCTTCACTCATTTTCTTGCCTACATTTGTGTGCACTTTGCAACGGGGTAACTCGAAATGCTGCACTTCGGTGCCAAGCTCTATGTTGAATGAAGCCAGCCAGCCACCAGGAGGTGTTTCTAGTGCCTCTGTGCCGACCCACTGTCATACATAGATGTTTTTGGGGTACTGGAGTGTATTGCTCTGGTCTTACCCGTTCGTGCACATTCCATGTTCACCGTTAGTTATAGATAACTGTGATCGTGTTGACAAACCGTGTGCGAAACATGTTTATCGTATTGATGATGTGTATGTGTATGGAGTGTGTGATGTGGCGTGTTTGTGACTGAGTTGTTTAGTGTTGTTAGTGTAGAGAGGGTTGAATGAGCGGGGGGGGGGGGGCTAGAGTTGAGGTTGTCGTAGGTTTGGCGGTTGTCTGTAAGTGTTGTGTTATGATATGTGTGGAGTGTGTATGGAGTGTATGACTTTGATTGTTGAACGTGTTGTGTGTCTGAGAGCGGTTGAGATGGAGGGATGTGGAGTGTGTTTGTGTGTGTGTGTGTTGTGGATGTTTTTGGATTGATGGTTGCTTGTTTGTGTCTGTTGACAGTTCGAATGCACGTTGATGTTCCTTGTTGAATCGGCGAGGTATGTCCGTGTATTTGTAGCTGGGTTGTTTGAGTGCAGGAGGTGTTTCTAGTGCCTCTGTGCCGACCCACTGTCATACATAGATGTTTTTGGGGTACTGGAGTGTATTGCTCTGGTCTTACCCGTTCGTGCACATTCCATGTTCACCGTTAGTTATAGATAACTGTGATCGTGTTGACAAACCGTGTGCGAAACATGTTTATCGTATTGATGATGTGTATGTGTATGGAGTGTGTGATGTGGCGTGTTTGTGACTGAGTTGTTTAGTGTTGTTAGTGTAGAGAGGGTTGAATGAGCGGGGGGGGGGGGGCTAGAGTTGAGGTTGTCGTAGGTTTGGCGGTTGTCTGTAAGTGTTGTGTTATGATATGTGTGGAGTGTGTATGGAGTGTATGACTTTGATTGTTGAACGTGTTGTGTGTCTGAGAGCGGTTGAGATGGAGGGATGTGGAGTGTGTTTGTGTGTGTGTGTGTGTGTTGTGGATGTTTTTGGATTGATGGTTGCTTGTTTGTGTCTGTTGACAGTTCGAATGCACGTTGATGTTCCTTGTTGAATCGGCGAGGTATGTCCGTGTATTTGTAGCTGGGTTGTTTGAGTGCAGGAGGTGTTTCTAGTGCCTCTGTGCCGACCCACTGTCATACATAGATGTTTTTGGGGTACTGGAGTGTATTGCTCTGGTCTTACCCGTTCGTGCACATTCCATGTTCACCGTTAGTTATAGATAACTGTGATCGTGTTGACAAACCGTGTGCGAAACATGTTTATCGTATTGATGATGTGTATGTGTATGGAGTGTGTGATGTGGCGTGTTTGTGACTGAGTTGTTTAGTGTTGTTAGTGTAGAGAGGGTTGAATGAGCGGGGGGGGGGGCTAGAGTTGAGGTTGTCGTAGGTTTGGCGGTTGTCTGTAAGTGTTGTGTTATGATATGTGTGGAGTGTGTATGGAGTGTATGACTTTGATTGTTGAACGTGTTGTGTGTCTGAGAGCGGTTGAGATGGAGGGATGTGGAGTGTGTTTGTGTGTGTGTGTGTGTTGTGGATGTTTTTGGATTGATGGTTGCTTGTTTGTGTCTGTTGACAGTTCGAATGCACGTTGATGTTCCTTGTTGAATCGGCGAGGTATGTCCGTGTATTTGTAGCTGGGTTGTTTGAGTGCAGGAGGTGTTTCTAGTGCCTCTGTGCCGACCCACTGTCATACATAGATGTTTTTGGGGTACTGGAGTGTATTGCTCTGGTCTTACCCGTTCGTGCACATTCCATGTTCACCGTTAGTTATAGATAACTGTGATCGTGTTGACAAACCGTGTGCGAAACATGTTTATCGTATTGATGATGTGTATGTGTATGGAGTGTGTGATGTGGCGTGTTTGTGACTGAGTTGTTTAGTGTTGTTAGTGTAGAGAGGGTTGAATGAGCGGGGGGGGGGGGCTAGAGTTGAGGTTGTCGTAGGTTTGGCGGTTGTCTGTAAGTGTTGTGTTATGATATGTGTGGAGTGTGTATGGAGTGTATGACTTTGATTGTTGAACGTGTTGTGTGTCTGAGAGCGGTTGAGATGGAGGGATGTGGAGTGTGTTTGTGTGTGTGTGTGTTGTGGATGTTTTTGGATTGATGGTTGCTTGTTTGTGTCTGTTGACAGTTCGAATGCACGTTGATGTTCCTTGTTGAATCGGCGAGGTATGTCCGTGTATTTGTAGCTGGGTTGTTTGAGTGCAGGAGGTGTTTCTAGTGCCTCTGTGCCGACCCACTGTCATACATAGATGTTTTTGGGGTACTGGAGTGTATTGCTCTGGTCTTACCCGTTCGTGCACATTCCATGTTCACCGTTAGTTATAGATAACTGTGATCGTGTTGACAAACCGTGTGCGAAACATGTTTATCGTATTGATGATGTGTATGTGTATGGAGTGTGTGATGTGGCGTGTTTGTGACTGAGTTGTTTAGTGTTGTTAGTGTAGAGAGGGTTGAATGAGCGGGGGGGGGGGGGGCTAGAGTTGAGGTTGTCGTAGGTTTGGCGGTTGTCTGTAAGTGTTGTGTTATGATATGTGTGGAGTGTGTATGGAGTGTATGACTTTGATTGTTGAACGTGTTGTGTGTCTGAGAGCGGTTGAGATGGAGGGATGTGGAGTGTGTGTGTGTGTGTGTTGTGGATGTTTTTTGGATTGATGGTTGCTTGTTTGTGTCTGTTGACAGTTCGAATGCACGTTGATGTTCCTTGTTGAATCGGCGAGGTATGTCCGTGTATTTGTAGCTGGGTTGTTTGAGTGCAGGAGGTGTTTCTAGTGCCTCTGTGCCGACCCACTGTCATACATAGATGTTTTTGGGGTACTGGAGTGTATTGCTCTGGTCTTACCCGTTCGTGCACATTCCATGTTCACCGTTAGTTATAGATAACTGTGATCGTGTTGACAAACCGTGTGCGAAACATGTTTATCGTATTGATGATGTGTATGTGTATGGAGTGTGTGATGTGGCGTGTTTGTGACTGAGTTGTTTAGTGTTGTTAGTGTAGAGAGGGTTGAATGAGCGGGGGGGGGGGGCTAGAGTTGAGGTTGTCGTAGGTTTGGCGGTTGTCTGTAAGTGTTGTGTTATGATATGTGTGGAGTGTGTATGGAGTGTATGACTTTGATTGTTGAACGTGTTGTGTGTCTGAGAGCGGTTGAGATGGAGGGATGTGGAGTGTGTTTGTGTGTGTGTGTGTTGTGGATGTTTTTGGATTGATGGTTGCTTGTTTGTGTCTGTTGACAGTTCGAATGCACGTTGATGTTCCTTGTTGAATCGGCGAGGTATGTCCGTGTATTTGTAGCTGGGTTGTTTGAGTGCAGGAGGTGTTTCTAGTGCCTCTGTGCCGACCCACTGTCATACATAGATGTTTTTTGGGGTACTGGAGTGTATTGCTCTGGTCTTACCCGTTCGTGCACATTCCATGTTCACCGTTAGTTATAGATAACTGTGATCGTGTTGACAAACCGTGTGCGAAACATGTTTATCGTATTGATGATGTGTATGTGTATGGAGTGTGTGATGTGGCGTGTTTGTGACTGAGTTGTTTAGTGTTGTTAGTGTAGAGAGGGTTGAATGAGCGGGGGGGGGGGGGGCTAGAGTTGAGGTTGTCGTAGGTTTGGCGGTTGTCTGTAAGTGTTGTGTTATGATATGTGTGGAGTGTGTATGGAGTGTATGACTTTGATTGTTGAACGTGTTGTGTGTCTGAGAGCGGTTGAGATGGAGGGATGTGGAGTGTGTTTGTGTGTGTGTGTGTGTTGTGGATGTTTTTGGATTGATGGTTGCTTGTTTGTGTCTGTTGACAGTTCGAATGCACGTTGATGTTCCTTGTTGAATCGGCGAGGTATGTCCGTGTATTTGTAGCTGGGTTGTTTGAGTGCAGGAGGTGTTTCTAGTGCCTCTGTGCCGACCCACTGTCATACATAGATGTTTTTGGGGTACTGGAGTGTATTGCTCTGGTCTTACCCGTTCGTGCACATTCCATGTTCACCGTTAGTTATAGATAACTGTGATCGTGTTGACAAACCGTGTGCGAAACATGTTTATCGTATTGATGATGTGTATGTGTATGGAGTGTGTGATGTGGCGTGTTTGTGACTGAGTTGTTTAGTGTTGTTAGTGTAGAGAGGGTTGAATGAGCGGGGGGGGGGGCTAGAGTTGAGGTTGTCGTAGGTTTGGCGGTTGTCTGTAAGTGTTGTGTTATGATATGTGTGGAGTGTGTATGGAGTGTATGACTTTGATTGTTGAACGTGTTGTGTGTCTGAGAGCGGTTGAGATGGAGGGATGTGGAGTGTGTTTGTGTGTGTGTGTTGTGGATGTTTTTGGATTGATGGTTGCTTGTTTGTGTCTGTTGACAGTTCGAATGCACGTTGATGTTCCTTGTTGAATCGGCGAGGTATGTCCGTGTATTTGTAGCTGGGTTGTTTGAGTGCAGGAGGTGTTTCTAGTGCCTCTGTGCCGACCCACTGTCATACATAGATGTTTTTGGGGTACTGGAGTGTATTGCTCTGGTCTTACCCGTTCGTGCACATTCCATGTTCACCGTTAGTTATAGATAACTGTGATCGTGTTGACAAACCGTGTGCGAAACATGTTTATCGTATTGATGATGTGTATGTGTATGGAGTGTGTGATGTGGCGTGTTTGTGACTGAGTTGTTTAGTGTTGTTAGTGTAGAGAGGGTTGAATGATCGGGGGGGGGGGGCTAGAGTTGAGGTTGTCGTAGGTTTGGCGGTTGTCTGTAAGTGTTGTGTTATGATATGTGTGGAGTGTGCATGGAGTGTATGACTTTGATTGTTGAACGTGTTGTGTGTCTGAGAGCGGTTGAGATGGAGGGATGTGGAGTGTGTTTGTGTGTGTGTGTGTGTGTTGTGGATGTTTTTGGATTGATGGTTGCTTGTTTGTGTCTGTTGACAGTTCGAATGCACGTTGATGTTCCTTGTTGAATCGGCGAGGTATGTCCGTGTATTTGTAGCTGGGTTGTTTGAGTGCAGGAGGTGTTTCTAGTGCCTCTGTGCCGACCCACTGTCATACATAGATGTTTTTGGGGTACTGGAGTGTATTGCTCTGGTCTTACCCGTTCGTGCACATTCCATGTTCACCGTTAGTTATAGATAACTGTGATCGTGTTGACAAACCGTGTGCGAAACATGTTTATCGTATTGATGATGTGTATGTG